ATTACTATTCATAATATCTACTGAGTGCCACTAGAGTTTTATAAAATTGGAATCATAACATCGCCGTCCTGCCGCCATCCCCGAGACCTCGCCACCGCAACAATTAGCACACCACCACCGCCAGATTCGCTCACGCCACACGCAACCCAAGCCGCCCAACTCCTGTGGCAGCGGGTGAGCTTCATGTCACCCAACTCCGAAGGCAGCCACAAGGCTTTGGATGCCATCCACGCTGAAACCGGCCCACACCAGCAAAACCGATGCCGGCGGGAGGAGTCCGAGAGATGGAGATGGAGCAGGACCATCCACTGCCTTAGTCCCTAACCAATGGTGGGAATGGCAGCGGCGGTGGAAAATCGGGCGATGGGGAGGATGACGACAGTGGATCCGAGGGTGGGGAGGGTGGCGGCGGCGTATCCAGTGGTGGGGAGGGAGATGGCGGCAGATCCGACGGTATATAGGGATTGCGTCAGCGGCGGATCTGGTGGCGGCGATGGGAGGTGGGGAGGGTGTCGGTGACGGCGGGGATGAACCCCGAGCACATGAGATGCCAGCGTTTCGGATGGATTTTTCTTTGGATTTATTTTGTCAATTTTTCTTTTTAGTCGGAGTACGGCTTAGGCTTAAGCGTTCACATACGAAAAATACAATTCTTTGCATGGGACTATCTAAATAACAACAGCAAGTTTTTAAGGGAAAAACTTTCAAACCTAATTATAGTATAATTGTAATATAATTTTACTATAATATATGCAACTTTATATCTAATTTATATAGGGATTACAATGTAGGTACAATAAAACTATAGTGTAATTACATTGCAATTACACAGTTACCTTTGAAAGTTTTTTTTGCCTAAAAAACTTGCGACAGTTTTTTAATTAGCAATACCGTTTTTGCATATGGTTGCTCTACCCGTATGCAAAAATATTTTTTGACATCTGGGTGTAGGCGGACCACCTATATATCTCCGTATGGATCCGCTTGCTAAATTCGATTTTGACAGTATAAAAAATATTTTTTAAGTAGTGTAGGCGCGCCATAACACATCCTAGCTATAGCCGATGGAGAATCGTCTTCCCTGAACTTGTTGATGACGGAAGTGGTTAGCGGCAGTAGAGCTGGAAGGCAGGGAGAGGCATGACCACATGGAGAAAGGGGATGCCTACATTTTTTATCCCGTGCAGACCAATCAAATCCACTAATATAATAATATAAGGTCCTATTCAGATTATAGCCAAAATAAATCTTACTAAATTTTAGCGTTGTCAAAATATTGGCAAGATACAATATTATCAAAATTGTAGAAGTATTTCTTATGTATTTACCAAATTTGGCAACAAACTAAATATAGATATTTTTTTAGCAACTGTGCCAAAAAAATGGTATGGTTGAAAATGGCGTCAAACTGAACCGGTCCTAACTTTTTGGAAGATTTACTTTGTTTCTACAGGACAATATCGATACACGTATAGATGTTTTTATTCACATATAATATCTATATTTTACTAGTTAATTATTCAATTTTTATCGATTACAATAATTTTATTTCGTACCTTACTTCTTTCTTATCAACGATCAACATTACTCTACTTAATTTGTAATACTTCCAAGTACGTTAACATACCGTGAAAGTTCTCATCAAATACATTTGACTTGAGGGAGTAGAAAGTACTATAATTTGTATAGTACAATCATATCGTACGTCCTCGGCAAGAAAGAAAGAAAAGCCTTTATCGTACATTTGAATTAGTGATGCTGATGCGAGATTAATTACGTACTAATTAGACGCGCGCAGAGCACACAATCCGATCGGGCTATGCGTCGTGCAAAAGCAAACGCGGCATCATCGATCATATCGTTCTATATGCAAACGCATTGCTGTGTTGTTGTGTGCTTCGAAGGCCGTGCATGCTCCACGCGACTAATTAACGATCTGCTCATTGATCACCTTGATCTTGCTTACGCCATATAGTACATAATGTAACTGTATATATAGAGCTAGCTTAGCTAGGGTTTCGATCTGCTAATTGTTTTTTTTCTCATTAACAATTGCTGCGCACACGCAATTATCTTGAGAACAAAGCAACATCCTGTTTTTTCTCGTTTAGATGGATGCGTTGCATCGTGCCATGCGATCGATGCATGGAATTAAAATAACCCTTTTATTAATGAATTCAAATTCAATTTAAGTGATGTACGCAGTGATCGATATATGTAAGGGAGAGTGATGATAGATAAGGGAGAGCTGTGTAGAGATGGTACTCTCCCAGTTTTGAGTGATCTCCAATCAAAAGTAGCATTGCATATAGGTCGGTTCTTGGCCTGCAGCATGCTTGGAATGCAGAAATTTGATAGTGCAAAATTAAGAAGGATGAAATCCAATTTTAGTCATTATACGGTTGTTTTTCAACCTCAATTTTCAAAAGGAACAGTTTTGATTTACTCCCTAAACTTTGAGCGTAGTCCGATTTCCCATGAACTACAACAACAAACATTCGATATCTGTGAACTTTAAAACCGGACGAATTATATCTCCTTGCTATCTAATCAACAATATAAGAAAGACAATTTATATAAAAAGATCTATCTAGACACACCTATCATTCATTATATATATATATATATATATATATGTATATTCTTTTCTCTTTCGACTCTCTCCTCCATCTCTTAGGGCCAACCAAAGGCCCACAACCGAACTCCCCTCACTCGAGCACACACCTTATTGTCATCGGAGTGTGTGATCATAGATGCCTCAAGCTACACCTACGCAATCTATAGCTATTAAAACCGGACAAGACTAGTGGTTCAACCCAAAAAAATCACAATAGCTCAGTCCAGTTCGATCTAGCCCTCCACTCATGATGTGGCCATGTGGGTGAATCAAGAATGCATGTTTGGCAGTGATGGTGATGGCAAGGTGCCTTCTAAGCAGATGAGAAAGCAGAAAGTACATCCAAGCGAGGGAGTGGATGCCTAGGGCAGCATGTTTGAAGGAGGAATCAGAGAGGAGAGAGAGGATGAGGTCAACAACAGGTATGCCAGATCTAACTCTATTTTGCGCTGCATGACGTGTTGGGCAGGGGGGATTGCTTGTAGAGGTGGTGATGGCAAGGTGCTTTTGAGGGGCGATGGTGAAGTGCTTTTGAGGCGCGGGAGAAGTTTGGAGTATTTATATGTGGGTAGAGATAACTTGTCCAAGTAAACCACGAGCAGCCCTTGTGAGATACGGGTAGATAAGACACTGTCTTTCTTGGATCAAAGTCCAACATCTTCTATTTCCGTTGAAGGGTTTTCCGTTCCGTTCTTATCTACTATACTTTTATATTTACTAGAAAAGATGCTCGTGTGTTGCAACGGGTGAATGCTATTTTAATCATGTTATTGTTATACGGTTTATCTAGGATGAAATTCACTTTAGGAATTCGCTTGGATATTTTTTTAAAAAAAATCATGAGCTGCAATTAGAAGTCTGACTTTCATCTCAAGTTAGCATGCGAGTTTTTCTAAAGAGATTTCTCATACGACTCCTTCTGTAGTTTTAAAAGCAAACAAACTTAAAATCTGACTCAAACACGGATTTTTATTTCCAAAAGCGAACAAAATTTAAAACCCGACTCAAATACGAATGATGTACCAAAATACCGGTAAAAACATTTTCAATTTTTATAACAATAGAGATAGAGATATCTGGTGGCTATAATCCAAATATAGATCCGTAAGACCGATAAAATCCATCTTCTACCATATGTTTAGTGTTTTCCTATGCGATTTTTTTTCGGGAATGCTACATACGGGGATCCTGTCGGCATGGGATCCTTCGTCCTTCTTGCCTATCCAAAGAGAAGCGAGAGCTGAGCGCCTGAGCCGTAAGGAGGAGGTTGCTGTCGCCTGTCTGTGAGGACCTTCGGCACGGTTGGGGAAAAAGACCTGCTCGGCGAGAGGAGGACGCGGCCACCGGCGACGAGCCCTACACGGTGAGCTCCTGCGACGTCGAGGACCTCGTCTGTGTCGTGTCGAGGCAGCGGTGCGTCGCGTCCGAGCCGCCGGTGGGGGATACATCAACGAAGAAAGGAGGGGCGTCGATCGGTGGCCGGAGCTAGGGAACGGAGTAACTGCGGTGGCCGGAGCTAGGAAGGGGAGGGGCAGTGGTGGTGGTAGCTGCATCCGGTGGAGCGAGCGGCTGCGGTGGCCGGAGCCATGGGAGGGAGGGGTGGCAGTTGTCGGAGCTAGGGGAGGGAGAGGCGGCGGCGGCGGTGGTAGCCGGAGCCGGGAAAGGAGCAGCGGCGGTGGTTAGAGCCAGGGGAGGGAGGGCGGTAGCGGTCGTTGGCGTCGGCATCAGGTATGTCCAGCTTCTGATACCTAGTTGAAATCACATGATATCTTGTAGGTATCGCCTGATACCTCATAGGTATCGCCTGATACCTCTAAAGTATCACTTTCTACGTGGTAAGAATCACATGATACATAATAGGTATCACCTGATATCTCGCAAGTATTATCTTTTACGTGATAAGAATCACATGATACCTAATAGGTATCACCTGATATCTCGCAAGTATCACATTCTATGTGGTAAGAATCGTATGATACCTGATAGGTATCACCTGATACGTGGTAGAACAGCATGATATTTGATAAGTATCACCTGATACCGGTTAGGTATTAGTCTATTAGGACTTGATATCTAACTGGTATCATCCTGTTTTTGAACGGATTCCGGTATATAGCAGCTTTTTTTTTTCAATGCACGGTATATTCATCAGCTGGTTGGTTATTTAGCCAAGAATAAAAAGATAGAAAAATGTTCTTCCTAGGCCCGAGGGCCGAGAGCTGTTCGGTATGGCCGGGTGGACGCGTTAGCCCTTAGCAGCTTATTGGGCCTGAAAAGCCGAAACAGTGAACGTCGTACGGCCCATTAAAGCCCAGGCCCAAAAGAGCCCACCCACCTCCTCTCTTATCTATGGGAGACGCGCTCTCCCTCTCGCCTCGCGGTCGCCTCGCTTTCTCCCTCGCCAACTCGCCTACCCTCCCCACCCCCGCGTCGGCGGCGGCGGCAGCGGCAGCGGCAGCGACGGAGCCTCGCCGGCGGCAAGCGTACTCACCCGGTAACCCTGGCTCCTCCCCCCCTCCTTCTCCGTACCTCGTATGCGTGTTCTTCTGCGCTCGTGCGTGCGGTGTCTGCCGCCACAGAAAACCCTAGGTCCGCCTGCGGCGTGTCAGCGAGCTCGCCCGTCACCGCTTAGATCCGCGCGGGATTCGGCGGTTTCGCTTGCTGGAGATGCCTTGACGAGCGGTTTAACGAGATAGGGAATGTTCTATTTGTTTTTACCCCGTAGCTGCAAGGTTTCTGAATCTCAGATCCCCTCCTGCCATGTCGGGGTTGAAGGCTAGGGTTGTTGCTTCAGAGTTGTCGTGAATTAGTCATATATGCAGTAAATTCTTGGTTGGAGCTGGATACGTGGGTGGTTGGGAGTAATTGCTATTTTCTAGATCAACTTAATATGCTGGATCTTGGTGTTATATCGATGTATTCATTTGTTTGTTACTGTGTTCTATACCATTATCGTATCCTTAGATCCAAAGGATAAAGGAAAGTCATAGTTCGAAATTTGAGCTGCAATTCAAAATTTTTGGAACAGTGTTTACAACTCAGATTTGTTGACTGATGTGAATAGCGCATGAACTTGCAAGGTGCATGATTCATTGGGCTATGCCAATTTTGATTTGGTAGTTTTTAATCTTAAATCCTTTTTAACATGATGCCATGCTTGTGTTTGAAGACTTCTTTCCATGTACTTGAAGTTACCTATGGGTTTTTTTGTTCCCTATACTTTTAAATTACGCTGTAGTATATTATTCTTAACAAAAAACTATATCTGTGCTGACAAGTTTGGCAGTTATTCTTTGGTTGCATTTGTCTTCTTATCGCTAATGTTCCTGTATTTACGTGTAATTGCAGACAAAACAATGAGGAGGTATAGTCCACCTTATCGCAGTCCACCAAGGAGGGGATATGGTGGCAGAGGAAGAAGTCCCCCTAGGAGGGGATATGGAGGACGGAAGGAACAGGGTTCTGGCAGTCTCCTGGTCCGCAACATCCCTTTAAGCTGCAGGTACTGGAACTGTATAACCGTAGCACCTTTTTCCAATGACTATATTCTTAATGAAATAAATAAATATTCCCTCTGTTTCTAAATATTTGACACCGTTGACTTTTTAGCACATGTTTGACCGTTCGTCTTATTCAAAAACTTTGGTGAAATATGTAAAACTATATGTATAGATAAAAGTATATTTAACAACAAATCAAATGATAGGAAAAGAATTAATAATTATTTAAAATTTTTGAATAAGACGAACGGTCAAACATGTTTAAAAAAGTCAACGGCGTCAAATATTTAGAAACGGAGGGAGTATAATATTTCGGAGGTTGCAGATTTATTCAATTTGACTGGCTCTCTTAACTCTGGCAGAGCGGAGGATCTTAGAGTTCCTTTTGAAAGGTTTGGACCTGTTCGAGATGTTTACCTGCCAAAGGATTATTATACCGGGTAAAGTGTTGCTAATGACTCTGTTGATTGGTTTGTTGATTGGCAATCGCCAAAAAAATGTTTGTTATAATGTTAGGATAGTAAATGTAGATAGTCTGTATGCTTCTCTGTATTGTCGCTGCAATAAGCTTACAAGCTTTTCTAAAGTTATTCAATAGACTGGAAATAAAAAAAATCACAACGGAGGTTTGGCGTGAACATTTTCCAGCTTCAGTGTGGTATCAATTACTGCAGTCACCTTTTCATTTAGCTCCATTAATTGAAATGCTTGAATCATTTTTTTAATCTGATGATGTGTTTAGTAATTTTTTTCATGTCACTAGAGCATGTAATTCACTAATGTGGTAACCCATATTTTTGCTTTCTTTCTCCTACGCACTTAATATCATAAGAAGTTTTTCCCTGAAACTATTCCCAGGGTCGTACTGGATTGAAGTAAATACGATGTTGAAGAATGCTTTTCAATATTCCTAACAATTGATTTGTTTGGCAAGATAGAGTCTTGTCCGAATGAAGAAGTTCTTCTATGAAGACAAGATTTGACTCATTGAGAAAATTAATTTCACGAAGAGAAGATAAGAGAGTTGTACTGGGTGGTGCATGCGAAGATAAAAGTGAGAGAAGTTGATTTCAAGTTCTATCTTGACTTTTCGCACATTCGGGAACTTGAAGCGAATGCTTCTGTGAAGATGCTCTTTATGAGGATCACCATACGTAGTGTTATACAAGAAATTCAGATAATAGAGCCTGGACATCTAACTGCTTTTTGCAACACTTGCTTCCCTTTTGCTGGAAATGTTCGTAAGTTTTTAACTGTGCTTCACTGAGAATCATAGAGGGTACATTGAGTTTTGAACTGTGATGGTAACATGGCAGACACACACTACACATGAACATTTTGCACCTTCTTATTTGTTAGTTTTACCATCAATTTTCCTCAAACAACTGTCTCATAAAATATACATATACAGGGAACCGCGAGGGTTTGCATTCGTGGAGTTTGTTGACCCTTATGATGCTTCTGAGGCCCAATATCATATGAATCGTCAGGTGGTTTTTGGCCGGGAGATAACTGTTGTTCTTGCTGCTGAGTCACGGAAAAGGCCAGAAGAGATGCGCAGTAGAGCCAGAGTCAGGTATTGTTCCCATTACTGCTTGAACGTGCGGCTTAATATTCTGTTTTGTGCTTGTTTACAATGACTTTGTGTGGTTGCTTTGCAGAGGGTACTCTGACCATGAAGGCCGTCGTTCATCCCATTACGGTATTCTCTCATTTCTCATCATTCATGATCTTGTGCATTTCTAAATGCACATCTAGAATCTTGTGTGCTCTGTAATTATGCTTGGAATACTTGTCCCTTTTGCTGCACACATAACCGTATGTTTCAGATTTCAGATTAGTACTATTGGTCAATCTCAAGTTTTTGTTAATTTTCTTTTCTTAAATGCATGTAATTTTCTAATTTATTTTGTTGCCACACCGAATTACTGAGGCATCCATCTGTTCTTACAGGGAGGTCTCGTTCACGTTCGCGTTCCCGCTCTCCCCGTTATCGTGGTCGTCCACGGTCAAGGTAGACCAATTATAGTTCCTGTTTACTTTTTGTTGCTATATGTGATTCCTAAGCCATTATCTTCATTCATGATTCTCTCACTTACATGTTTTCTTTAAAGGTCATACTCTCCTGCTCCAAGACGACGAGATGACTATTCCGCATCCCCACAGAGAAAAGACACACATCGTGCAAAATCTCCTAGGCGTCAGCCAAAAGAACATGAAGTAGACAAGAAGCGGAGATCCTATTCTCCTGCCAATAAAGATGGGGACCGGCGTGATGCTGATAATGGTTATGAAAAGTAAGTTCGAGTGCTTCTTACTTCCATTGCTCTTTGCAATGCAAAAGTTCTGCATTGGTTTGCTTTTCTCGCCTCAAAAATGGTTGAAAGTAGCATACGATAGACTTTTAGTGTATGATATTCCAGTAAAGATTGAATGGCTGTTGTGCCTTGCTGTTGGATTAGGGGAAAGCATTCGAATATTTTCCGCATACTCATGTAGTCATTTTGGTCGTATGTGCGTTACTTATGGGATATATATAAAAATATACCCCCTCCGTCCCAGAATAACTTAATCTAGTACCTGTCCAGATTCATAGTACTAGGATATGTCGCATCCAGTATTAGATTAACTTAATTCTGGGATGGAGGTAGTACCTACCTCATGAAATGCCTTCTTGGGTTTCTGGTCATACACTGAAAGCATTTATATTCACAGGAGGTCGCCGCCAGCTGACAGCGATGGATCCCCTCCGCACCGGAGGTCCCCCAGGCAATCCTCAGGATCGCCTCCAGGATCCCGCTCCAGGTCTGCCGACGGGTCTCCTGCCCGCAGTGACTAACAGAAGAACACTGCGCACGCTGTGCTACATCCTCTCTAGCTTCTTGTTGGTCAGACCGGACCAGTTTAAGTAAAAACCCTTTTGGGCTTGTTGTAAAACTTGTAATGCTAGCATCTGTCGTGGTTTGGTAGCGGAGGACTTGGATCGTCACCATTGTGTGTGCTCGCTTCTCAGTGGATGGAGACATTTTGAGTCGTGTGTGATGAAACCTTAGACTTGCTGCATGGCATTGTATTGTGTTAAACTTATCCGTATGCCTTGTGTATTCTTGTGCTTGCCATGTGCTCATGCGCTTGAATTGCTGTGCACGCGGAGTCGAACTATGCCGTCGACTTCTTTTGGAACTCTTTTCGCCTTAAAATATACTACCTCCGTCCTAAAACATAGCAATAGCAATTTTTAGCTATGAATCTGTAGCTAAAAATGCTTACATTTTGGGACGGAGGGAGTAGTAAAATATTATTGAATTAGATAACATATTATCATGAATATAGATGAAATATAGCAAAATCTTCTACCCTATAATTCAATGAATGCTTTTACTCATTCATCATGTAACACATTCAATGGTTCAAAATCTTATAATCTAACGCCTCAGAATCCCCCACGTCTCCTCCTCCCCTCCCCGCACCCATCTCCTCACGCCGCTCTCGCTTTCGCTCCTCTCTCTCCCGCGTCTCCCACTGCCCAGCGCCGTATCTCCTCCTCGCGCTCTCTCGCCCTCTCGCCGTCGTGCGCCGGATTTTTGAAAGAATCGACGCGCTCCTCCTCCACAGTTCGCGCCACGCGCCCCTCCGTACCACGAAAAATCGCCGCGCCACGCCTCCCCCACATCGCCGCGCCGGCACCCACCATCGTCACCGCCGCCCATTGCTCTCCACCACGCCCCCATTGCGCCGACGCCCTCCCTCTCTTTCAGGTCGCCGCCCCCGCTGATTCCCTCGCGATTCCCAACCCTAACCACCGCTACCGCCGCCCCTGCCGCTCAGGATCCCCCCGCCTCTCCTCCTCCCCGCCGCCGACGCTGTCCCCCCGCCTTTCCTCCTTCTGCCCACCTGCCACCGACGCCGCCACCCCTGGCAGTGACTCCTCCCCGACGCCAATGCCGATTCCCCCGCCGTCGATGCCTACTCCTATGGCAGTGCGGAGGACTGCTGCTTCCCTGCCCCCATCAGGTGTGTGCACGATTTGTGTTTGTTAAAATGCTTATGTGAAAAAGCTGGGGGTATAAATGATATGCTGCAGATTATCTTTTCCTGTTATAGGTTGATCAATAATGGTTTCCCTAATTCAACTTTCATATTGCTGAATCTTTTGGTCTACATTGATAGCTGATGCATTGTTTGTCAGAAACCTGTTGAATGGGAGGCACCATCATAATTATATGATCCAGCATTATGAAGTAACCATCAACTGATCTGAGCGTGGGGGTAATTTCTAACCCTCACCTCTGATGTTTGATGAATTTCATTTTCTTTTTTGACCAGATTTCCTATACAAATATAATTTCAAATGCTTGAGTATATAGCATATTGTTGATTGGAAATATAATTCCTGACAATTGTTGGTCATTTAAAAAATATAACAAATATGCTCAAACTATAGCCTATAAAAGGCACAACAGAAGAATTGATGTAGCTGGAAGAAAAATAAAATCACCCTCTGCTGCTTTGTCACGAGATAACCAGTAATTAACCATGCAGCCAAAAAACATTGCATCGATAACTTGTCATGTGAGCATATTTACTGTATAATTTGCACAAAAAATTCATGCTTCATCTATTGGAAAAAGAAAACCCATTAGCATTGATATAGTTCATTGTTTGCATATTTGTCAAAGCACAATATTTATGTACACTATCACTTGGAGTTGATCAACTGTACATTTGTTTGGATTTGATTAGTTTTAAGACATTTTAAGCGAAATTTATATTTTCCTATAGCAACTGATTGCAATTTTTCCTGTCACATTTTACAAGTTTTGACTACAGCATCATCGGTGATTATCCATTCCCGTATCACTGTGAACAGCTGCTACTGTCCTTCACAATCTCATTCTCTGAAGGTACAACCAGTTTCTTCACTATTCCCTTCTTAACTTTGCTAGCTATGGGATCCGATGTTCTTAGATTTTTTTCATAATGGCGTTCCTATTTGGATTGTCAAGTTTTCAGAATTTTTTAGAATGGGATTCCTATATTTACCATGTATTTTTGAATAAGTGACGATGTTTCTTAGGTTTTATAAGTGTGAGTTTATCACTGGTGATGATGTTAGTCATATGAGCACTGCACTGTTAATCTGTTATATGTACTGTAAATTGGAAAATATAAATTTGTATCACTGTTACATGTTAATATTTATATAAAATTCGACATTTGATACGCTTGATGAAAAGCATGCGCAGAAGCCTTTGAGTGCACAACCCGAACGATACCCAATTGATAAAAAGCATGTGCAACCTGCAATTGTTCCTGATAAACTCTCTATTGTTCATGAAAGTTATATAAATCGGATCAAGCATATAAGCTTGCTCTTGTCTGATGGTCATTTAAACAAAAAATCTCTTGACATGATTTTATAATTGAATAGTATCGTATAAGTTTGAATGTACACGCTGACTGAAATTTCAAAAAGTATGAGAACATTTTTTGTTTCTTCTGACAGATGTAAGTTTGTTTGGAGAACGGGACATTACGCGCTGCCTCCTCCATCGATGCTGTGCTGTTCCACTGCCTCAAGCGTCACCGCCACAGTATGCCCCATCTTGGTCTGCTCTGCCAAAAGGTACACAAATCCTCCGCCCCCACCCCTCTCCCATTCTCTTTATTCCCAATCCCTGCTATGTCTCCTCTATCCCTATTAGTACCCGCTGATTGTTGACATGGAGACCCTCTCCCATATAAGCAAGGAGACCATCTCTCCCCAATCCTATTCAACTTTATTGTTGACATGTTAGCTACCTTGATAAATAGAGCCAAAACACAAGGGCAAGTAGATGGTCTCATTCCGCATTTGATTGATGGGGGACTGTCTATATTACAATATGCCGATGACACAGTTCTTTTTATGAATCATGACCTTGAGAAAGCTCAGAATATGAAGTCGGTGCTTCTAGCCTTTGAGCAATTGTCGGGTCTGAAGATCAATTTTCATAGAAGTGAACTATATTGTTTTGGCGAAACGCTTGAGTATAGAGATCAGTATGCCCAACTCTTCGGTTGCTAGGTTGGCAATTTTCCTTTTCGATATCTTGGCATTCCGATCCATTGTAGGAAGTTAAGAAATGCGGAATGGAAAGAAGTGGTCGAAAGATTTGAAAAGAAATTAAGTAGCTGGAAAGGAAAACTTCTTTCGTTGGGAGGGCGACTTACACTGATTAACTCAGTACTTAGTAGTCTCCCAATGTATATGATGTCGTTCCTTGCAATACCTAGTGGGGTACTTAAAAAACTTGATTACCTTCGATCTAGGTTCTATTGGCAAGGGGATGGCCATAAGAAAAAATACCGGCTTGCTAAGTGGGACATCATCTGTCGTCCCAAAGATCAAAGGGGGCTGGGAATTCATGACCTCGAGGTAAAGAATATAGCGTTACTTAGCAAGTTGCTTACCACAGACGGAATGTGGCAACAGTTGATACGTAATAAATATTTGGGATCACAACCTTTATCTCAGGCTTATTGGAAAGCAGGAGACTCACATTTTTGGGCTAGTCTTATGAAGGCCAAACAAGATTTTTTTCGGTTTGGGTCTTTTCGTATTAGGGACGGCTCTCAAATAAGGTTTTGGGAAGATAAGTGGTTGGGTAATGCCTCGTTGAGAGATCAATATCCTTGTCTCTATAACATAGTTAGGCATAAACAATCGACAATATCACAAATCTTTCAAACGAACCCTCCAAGCTTTTCATGGAGACGAGATTTAATTGGAGCAAAATTAGCTGCTTGGAATAATCTATTGCCTTGCATAGCTGATTTGGTGTTGACGCAAGAGCAAGATGAATTTCGCTGGAATCTCACCCCCAATGGGGTCTTCTCGGTCAATTCACATTACATAGCTCTTGTTCATACGGGCGTCCCGAATATTAATAGACGTATTTGAAAGATTAAAGTACCGCTAAAAGTAAAAGTTTTCCTTTGGTACTTACGTCGGGGAGTAATTCTAACAAAGGATAACCTAGCTAGGCGAAATTGGAAAGGTAGTAAAAAATGCTGCTTTTGTCATAAGGATGAAACCATTCAACATTTGTTCTTCCAATTTCATCTATCTCGTTTGGTATGGTCCGTTATTCATATGGCCTCTAACTTTCAACCTCCTCGAAATGTTACTCATATGTTTGGGCGTTGGCTTTTATGTGTTCCTAAAGAAATGAGAAATCTGCTTTTGATGGGTGCAGCAGCTCTTTGTTGGTCCATTCAGAAACGGGGTTATTTTTGATAACAAGTTAGTGTCTTCTCCTTTACAGGTTATTACTCTAGTTACCCAGTGGCTGCGTACCTGGGCTATCCTCCACAAACCGGGATTGCGGGATACTATTGCGGTGGTATCTCGACGTTTGGACCAGGTGGCACGGGATGTTTTTACCCAGGAGCATGGGTGGCGATCTAGTCTACGGATTGATAGTCACTAATATCTATGTTTCGTGATGGGGGTTTAGTTTTGTTCTTTTATTGGCTGTGTGCATTTTATGCAGAGGCCGGGGGTGAGCTCAGTTGAAATGTATCATCTTGGTGTATTTGACCGAGTCTTAATAAAGCTTCCATTATCTAAAAAAAAGTACCCGCTGATTTGATCATACGGTTCTTAGTCCATATCTCTTTGTTTCTTGGATGATCTGCCCCTTATCTGCTTGTTTATCTGTCACTGAACTTGGGGAGGTTTGGTTTCTCGATGATTTCAGGGCTGTAAACTGGGGAATCTGGTTGTAGATGATATGTTAGAGTGGTTTTTTCTAGGATTTCGGTTTGTGTTTTAATCTTGTGATAGGTGATAGGGGTTTCATGACTCTGCAGGATCGGCAATGGCTGTAAGCATCGGCAGATTCGATTCACTGAGAAGTTCTTCCTCAGTGACATTGTTGTCCACAAGGTTGGTAGGTTCCTCTTCTTGCTTTCCTCATTGATGTGTGATTCCATTTAGTATGCTATATAATAAAACACTGAACCATGTTTTCTGAATACCCAAATGCAATTTGTATTGCGGAGAGTAGGCTGTAAATTCATTGAGCCATGTGTCTCATGTTTTACCGGGTTATATTTACTGATAGGATGATTATATTTTTAGTTACTGGTTTTCTCGGCAAACAAAAGTTTACGTGAAGTATTGTTGCTTTCACAGATAA